TAGAAGAAAAATAGAAATTATTAAATAAAGCAGATAAATGTAAGGGAGATATGAGCACTGACAAGTAATAATATTATCTATAATTGTGTGAAAGGCTACTTGCCCTGACCTGAAATGTGACAGAGTCACTCTAGAATGTCCTTCCTTCAGGTTTCTCTTTAGCTCAGTAACTCAATGATTCTATACCTTAAATGGCCACAAAAGGTCTATGAGATTAGAAAAAGAATATTCAAAAACCTGAAAAACAATAAAAGAGTGTGAGAAATTAGCGGAGCAAGGTTTTCTTCAAAATTGCAAAGTCAATCATGAAAACATTGTTGCAAAGCAATTGCTTTTGATTGCCTTTATGGTATCCAATATTTCTTTACTTTCTGACCTCACTCTTTATTCTTTCTGAGTCTGATCTTCACGCACCATTCTTCTAATGTTCAATATGGCTACCTGAAAATGTTACCATCTTGCTCTGAGAACTGTTTCTAGGACAAAATCCATTGGTTTGCCAGCCATAGTATTCAAGAGTAGATGAGGGAATATAGAACAAAGAGAAAAACATAGAATCACTCTGTAGAAATGTATGCTTTAAATCAGATGCATTTAAATATATAGTACATAAAATGTATACATTGGAAAAATAGATATAGAATATAGGCATAATTTTTGAAGTTATGCAATCATACAGTGAGGCTAGTTCACTAAAAGTGTAAACTTTCTTCAAAGTGTGTAAAGAAACAAAGAATAATTGTACTAGAAATACTTTATGATTTGCAATGCCTTGGCTTTATAAAAATGTAAATTAAGTTATTTAGAATTACATAATTTCTATACAATGTATAATATATAATGCATACAAAGCAAATTGTTCTTATGACTTAGGTATATTTTGTTTAATTAAATAATATGGTATCTCCTAAAAAGAGAAAAACATAATGCTATTGAGCAAATTTTTCAAAAGAACATTCTACCTTTGTAGAATTATAATGCATGCTAAGGTTTGAGGATCAAAAGAGGTAGTACATACAAACATTCTCTGAAAAGTGATTCACAAAGCAAAGAATGTGTTTTATCTTAAAAAGTAAAGGTAGTGAAGAGAGTTAGACATGAAAACTCTGAATTATGGCACTAAGAACAAAGATATACTATGTGTGAAAAATGGCTAGTGTCCCAGTTGAATATCCATGTCAACACTCATTTTAAGCAGACATAACACGTGTCAAAATTATTTCTGTTCTGCCAGCATTATTTTTCTAGAAATAATAATTAGCAAGCACTAAACTGTATTTACACTAACCATCTGCTTATTTAGTTGCTCTACAAAGACAGTATTAGAATAAAAGAAACCTCGGGCACTTCTATTATAATAATGAATGCCTCATGAGACGTGATGATGTGCAAGTTACAACATTCTGATAGTGATTTCTAATGCTTTGCAATAGGGCACAGACTCTCGAGAATCAGATGAAATTCTCTTCCATCTAGATTACATTTTCCCACTGTTCCAATGTGCTTGATACGAACTGACACTGCCATAAATATGTTTATCTGAATGGCAACACTGTCATAGTTAGATAAAGAAATATATAGCACTGAGTGAAAATACTTTTAGGTAATTTTCAAGTGCTTTTTTTCTGGTGTAACAGTAATTCCTACAAAGTACATAGTAAACTATGGAAAACAATAATCTTGCCT